AAACAGAGCCAGAGCAACACCCTTCCTCCTAAAGACGTGTAATTACGGTACAATTTTTGCAAGAGGCTTATTCCAGAACTAGTGTCCAATTTTAGACAATCTTCCACTTCACCATTCCTGATGAGGGCCAGAGAATCCTCGCTTTTCTAGTATCAGTACTTCCTGCAATAAAGCAAGGAAATAATTGGAGGGAGAAAAATGCCCTTAAGAGCACAGTGCTTGCAGTCCTTCCCGAAGCGTGGACTGCTGTTTGGCTAATGGCCTGCTGGCTTTGATTAGAAAAACACAAAGCTGGCAAACACAACCGACAGACTTTCCAATTACAAAACCTCCTCCCACTTTTAAACAGTGTCCCAGGGAGCTGGACTGAGAAGTTGCCCCTGGAGAACTACCCCATTATGTTTTGTTGGGGTAAAGATGATCAAATGCAGCAAGACTTACATGAATTACATACATCTCCTTACTTCATTCCTCATTTACAGAACAGGACAAGAGAACGTCCCCATCTCTCAGGACGCTCCAGGATAACCATAATAAATAATCTGAGCTCCTCACTTCTTGAGGTATCAGGGCTTGCAACTCCTGAACATCAAAAAATATTTTAAAATATTTAAAAAATATTTTAAAAACTCTTCTATTCTCATAGTTTGTGCAAATAAATTGTTTTTGTTCTGAGAGGGATACCAGTTAACTAAATTTAAAAAGTATAGCAAAGGAAGGATTTGTCAGCTTACACAGACAAAAGGTAGTGAGACAGTGCTACAGTGCAATGTGATCCACATTAGAGAGGAGCTTGCCTGTCTTGTATCACCCAACAGTTGGAAAAGGCAGTGAATTACCCAGAGAAAAATAATTTTATGTGCTTTTGGATTGCATACAGAAAACAAAGAGACTTCCCGGTGATGTAAAAAAAAAAAAAAAAAAAAAAAAAGCTGGTCAGAAATATTACAGCTTTATGCAAAGAAGAGATGCAGCAAAGGTTTCCCGTTGCCAGGAGGGCTACCCAGCGCACACAGCATCTCCGCGAATTTGACAGGCCATGACCGAAGTGAATCCCTTCCCCATCACACGAAACAGAAACCCAGCTCGACGACATTAGCGGTTTGACTACCTGGGAATGCAACTGCTGTTGATATTGCAGGAGACAAGCAAGGAGGGGAAAGGCTTCCTGATGCCGAGCTGTGCCAGCCCCGAGTCCTGCCTTGCAGCACAGCAGATGGACCCTAGTACATCAGGTATGTTGTAGGCACATCAGATATGTTGCAGGCCCACCCAGTGGACAAGCAGGAAACAGCAAGCCCCAGTTACTCCATTCCTCCATTTTTGGTTAAAGATGCAGCATATAATATTAACAGCAGACACAGGGACTGGAAGCTTGTCCAGAAAAATCAACCGGCATAATGAAAAGATGCTCTCTCTTTTGCAAACCCTGCTGCTGTGGCATGACGTGTTATACCCCACAGAGCTGGCTGCTCTTTTAGCTAATGTATTTACTAAAAAACATTAACAAACTTTTGAACAATGGTATTGATAGGAACTAACGCACCGATAGCGCATTAGCACGTGACTCCCTCCTGCTGACAGCTCTGGGCTGTGACCCAGCCCAGCTTCGCACCACGAAGCGTGTGCCAGCTGCAACTGCCAGTCCTGGAGGAGCGAGAGCCCCAGTTCCTTCGTGCACTGATTATCCAGTGAGAACGTCCAGGTGCCAATACCTGGAGACAAGCCCAAGGGTATTCCCACTTCTTATTACAGACCCAAACGAACGGCCTCTACGGTAACCCAGTCTGGACCGCTCACCTCCATGGAAATCAGGTAAGTGTTCTGGAGAGGAGGCGATGCAAAGCGCGAACGACACTGGTGCTCCTCATACAAATCTTCCCCCAGCCACGAGGAGGGAAGAACACCTGGCTTCACACAACATACCAAGTCAGTCCCTGCTCTCTGGGGCTTCTGGAGGTATTCATCCATCACTGAACAAGTAATAGCCCCTCCAGACCAGATGCCAACACCAGCGCACAGACGGAAAAAACATGCTTTTTAAAAAAGGACGTGCCATGTAATTTCTTGATACTTACAGAAATATTTGCTATAGAAACAAACTGAACTGCAGTCAGCATCTGCCTCATGGCAAAACAACTGACCTGAAAAACAAAGTCACTGTCAAATCATCAACAAACCAGGACAAAACTGGACAAACTGGGAAAGGTAACTCTTAATTTAACTTTTGCAGAATAGGAGGTAATTTTAAGACTGGGTGTGATAACAAAATTGGTTTTAAAAAAGCAACACCAGCATTCATATTTGAATGCTTTAAGCTGAGTAACATGAAAATGTCATGAGACAATGCAGGATGGAAGAAAGTACTGTTATTATTTCACCTGAAAACTAGATGAGAATACTGATCTTAACAGACCGGGAGGGGAGTTCAGATTTAGAAAGTAAAAAGAAAAAAAAAATCCTACTAAATATGAAAGGCAAATGTGGGAGTAAAAAATTACAGCATACAATCTTGTCATTCTATGTGATGGCAAGATTAAATTGTCTGAAAAGTAACTAAAATTGAAAATCTAGGACAAAACATTATTACAGAAAATCAATGGAATTGATTTTGGAAAGGCAACAAACACAGTCAATGGAATCATATTAAATCATGTACTAGAGATTTGGGATATTTAAGGCTACCAGTCTAGACATAATATTGTGTTTTTATAAAATCTTCTACGAATTCAAGTGTTTGACCTACTCCCATCTACTTCTCTCCTGCCCCCAAGAGTCCAGTTAGAAATTCACTGCTAAATTCTCCACAATGTGAGCGAAGAACACAAAATGCTCCTGAAACTAACTGGTCAAAACTCACTGCCAAGTAAAACATGCAGTATCCTCTACAGCCAGAGTGAGGACTTTGTGAGCGTATATATCTAAATAAATACCTTTTCCTACAGTCTTTCCAAACCCAGCAGTTGTATTACCAGTGCTATACTGAGACAAGCTAATTTTAATGTTTTCCCTGCACACTTAGTTTGCTCATGCTATGGTGAGAGAAAAGGTTCTTTGTAACAGTTTAACGCATAAGTAATCACTTGGAAGCTATCTAGTCAGTGCAGGATTTAAGAAATGAACCATATTTGCATGTGCAAGGTAAGCTTAATTAACCTGCTTCACAAAAATACAGTATTTGAGTATTAGAACCTGATGTGCTCAAGAAAGTATGCGAGCTTTTACACTTACTAGAATAATTCTGTATTTAATTAGGCCTCATTAGTAAAGGTAATCACTGTACTTTATTTGCACAAATACAGGACATCATGCTCCATCAGCAGGTAATGTTCTTCATTAAAAGGAGTAGGAACTTTGTGCACCAGGGCAGATGTGGCCCACTAATCCAAAGAAATCAGGACTACGAAATACAGAGCAAAACATTTTGCTAAATAAAATCAACTCACCACTTTTATTTAGGATGATTATTTGTAATAACGTATCAAAGTGGAAGATTATCCGGGCTCTTGAATTCGCTTCTGGAAGGAAACTGAAATTGTTTATGTGTGTGAGTTTTACAATTCATTGTAACAGACAGTTACAGCACATACCCCAAGTCAGAATGGTTTTGTGCATCAGTGTGGTTCTCAAAGGCTTTACACTCATGACACTCCCCACAACTCCCAGAGACACAAGCAAAAGCTGGCTCTGGCTAAGAAGGACCTTGTCAGTAGCTTCTAGTGGCACTAGGAAGGTATTTTTAGGAGACTGTGAGGAACAGAGGGAAGAGTAGTGTGCTGAGCCTTCGAAATTATTCATTCATGTATCAGTAAGACGAAAGCTTTCCTTTGAAGGTACATTGACTCTTACCAGAAGGTGTTAATGTAACACATCTGACCAGTGATTCAACTCCTGAAGTCTACACATAGATCATTCCATGGACATGACAGATGAACATCAGACTAACACCTGTGGTAAATTCAACAAAACGATATCCCTTGGATTAAATTGCTGAAGAAATGGTAGTTTTAAATTAGCACTTTGTTAGAGCTTTTTCATCTTCAAGGCAGGGGCAGGGAACTACTATCTACGTAAGTAACCTCACCTCCCCAGTATGAGTTAAAATATGTCTGTATCTTTCTCTTGCTTATTTTAAGAATTAGACGGTGTTTATGTGAAGAACAACCATTTCTGCTTTCCCACTTCTTATGCTTGTAAGACTTCTTGTAAGTGACTAACATCACAAACTAGATTATACGTCTCATGGAAGATTAAGTATTTGCAACTGAAGCAAGTATCAAATCCAGTAACCAAATACAGTTGTAAGTATGATTTTGCTTTAGTATTGAAGCTTCTATTTGAGTAACTGAATTCCATTAAAAAGAAATATTAAAAAAATCAAACAACTTTTTCAAAATTTACGGAAAATTTAATCAATATGCCTTAAATTATTTTACAGTAACTACAATACTGACAAGCATAACATTTTCAAAATGGTGTTTTTCTTGGAAGTACTGCAAAAGAGATTACTCTTCATCTACTAGTATGTGCACCATTAAGAAAAGAAACTCTAGTTGAAGTCATCTTCAGAAATCCAAGTTAACATACAGCTACTTAGACATCCAAATGTATTCATATTTCAAGTGTCACAGAATTACAGATCCCTTTAACTTTTAAGCAGCTGTTTTCTAATTCGTAATATAAGTATCTTAAATCCTGAAATACTATCACATCAAATGAACAAATGAATGAGACCAAAAGACCTTAAGAGTGTATTTGTTATAACACAGAAAACACTTGAATTGCTTGTGTTCATTTGTGCATTTTGCTTGTGGTAAGAGGGGACAGGAAATAGGTTCTTTATTACTGCAGATTTATTCAAAGAGTACCCCAAATCTACAGCATCTGCAGTTAACTTTTGCTGATAAAAAACCCTATCAATTTATAACCGCAATCCTTCTCCCTTCCCTAAAAAAATATAACGCAAAACACAAAAACCAAGCAAAAACTCCAACATTCAAATAAACAACCAAAAGTTACTTTTCTAAAGACACAGGAATGGGAAAGAAATTACATTAACTTGATAAGCATGAACACTTATTAAAGCTATAGACACCTCAGGTCAATTGAAAATATTCAAAGTCCTAAAAAAGTGAACACGAGACATTTGTTTTCATTGTTCCAGATGATTCAAAACAGGTCTAAGTTTTGTGATAGCAACACTATACAGTTGTTTGCAGCTGTTTCTGGTCTAACCAAATGTTCCAAGTTGATGTTTTCATTTTGGCCCACTGGAGTCCAACAGTTTGGACAGTCTATTCAAAACACAGAAATGAGAGCAAACACTCCATACAATAAAGCACAGGGGTATGCTACTAGAAGTTGTTGTCCTTCCATTGCTAAGGCAGAAATAAAGATTTTGGAAGCAGAAAAGCTGCACCAGCCAATGATTCCAGCCGTGAGAATAATCCCCATCATTCCCCTGTAAAGACAGAAATAAAGAAGATATATAGTATATACTTAAGTGGACTCCTTCTAACACCTTTTAAAGATTCTAAGATGAATTCTAGCTTTTATCTCTGACTTTTTAAATTAAATAATTCCAGTAAAGACTTCAGAACGATACTATTCTATTAAGACAGCATAAAAAAAAACCCCAAATTAACTTTGTGCATATGAAATGTAAAAGCAGTAAAGCAATTGTAGCAAGTTCTTTCTGTTCAGTCTCTAATTTCATACAGCTATGAGGAATCACAGCAATTTTTCTTCTCTTTGTCAAATTCAAATTTGCATCTTAAATTATAAGTACTTTTAGACTTTACAGGTCCTGAGATTTGTCAGATTCAAAGCTGAATGAAAACAAACTTGATATTGTTATTTGAGTCTACGTATTTAAAAGTTGTTAACTGACATATGGATAAAACCAGTATTCACCTATCTTTAATCTGGTAAATACCTGAAGACTGTTGACATTTGTTTTCACTTACTACAAACTCCAGCCATACTCAAATTATATGCAGCTTCATAACTGAATATGAAAATTCCTTTAATAACTTCCTTCACCATCTCATAGGATAGGAATCTATTACTAAATTATAAAGTTTATGTACTTACTGCAATGAAAATACAATTGCAAAAGTGGAAAGTAGGATCATAGGAAGAAGACAGTATCCAAGGACACTAGCAACGCAGCCAAACGAGACACCCGTCATGCTCATTAAGTTCAGGAGACAAAACATCCCTAAACATCCGATTGCACTTATTCCATACACATAACCAAACTGAATTTTACCAGCCTGAAAGTCAAGCAGAGTAATGCCTGTTAGTTACCTGAACAAAGAATGTCTCACACAAACAAAGGGAAAAGGAAAGAATGTTTAGAGTATCTTCATTTTCTCTGTTGTCCCCCACCCCCAATTCCTATATTTACATTCAAGAGGCAGTATTTTCCCACAAGCTGAATTCCAGAACACCTGTATATTGTAGGCATCCAAGAGGAACATTTATCCCAACTTTATGTATCTTGATGAACAGATTTTGATCGAATTGTTATTCATTGATCTGGGCTGCAAAAGCTTATGAATTCTTTGGGGTTTAATCAACTAACTTCTTACACCAATTGATTTCTTGCAACAATAATCTTCACAGAACTAGTGGATAAAGACCAAAAAATTGGAAGTCAGGAATTTCTTGACAAATCCAGAGCTGAAGTCCTTGAGTTTGCGATAGGCTCCACAAAGTTATAGCACAATGTAAATTATAAGAAATTCCCAGAAACAGTTGAAGCTGAGCTGTAAAGCACTGCGTATGAATGGCAGAATTAACTCACCCAGATTTTAAAAAGTCAAAATTGGAGTTTTGCTTACTAACAAGCATACAGAAAGCATACATGCATTATTTCAAAACATATGTATCCTATGTCACCATCTGTTTTTCCAACAAGATTGATGCTTCCCTTTAACATCTATCAAAACGTGCACAATGCAATGGTGTCCAGCCCTGCAGGAACACGAAGTTGCTGAAGCTATGATGGTGTTTAGCTTTGAGGTCTGTCTCCCACTACTAACTTCCAAGCAAAGTTTACTTATAATCCGGCTCTCTTCTTCTTCAAGCGCTACAGAAATCATATCTGCTTTAATCTTTTTGCTAGGCTAAGCTTGTTTTCTTTCACTACATTTTAAGAAAAAAAGCACACAGGGGAAAGTAATAATTCCTTAGGAAAAGAACATTCAAATGTATCTATTATAAACATGTCCATTAATTCTACTGACCTAGTTTCCATAAATAAGGGTCACCTATAAAAGTAGGCTTAAAGTCCCTTTGGTACCAAAACACTGTGTTCTAAGTGTCATAGCAATGTGAAATTTTAGGCAAAAATTAAATGCAGTGCCTGAAGACATTCAGAGGAAAAAAACCCACGATTAAAAATATTGAAGCTTTCAATGACAAGGAAGACTGTGCTGCTATTTTGTCATTTCGTATCGGACACTTTTGAAACCTTAAAGCACAATCTTATTTCAATTAAGCTCAACTAAAAAACCCACCAGGCTTCAACAGCTGCTGACCTATTAAGAAGCATAAACAATTTGAAAGCAGGTTTACTTTAGAACTGTTTTACCAGACTGACTCTTGATACAGATACATTAGGCATGACTTTCGGTACTTATGAACTCACTTTTTACACATGAATTTTGAGTTTCCATGCCTCTTGAATGTCAGTAAAGAACAATGAATAAAAAATATGGCACAAAGAAATAAAATAAAACAAAATGGAGAAATAGACTCAAATATTAAACACCGTAAGAGTTTAAAAATAAACTCCTAAATTAAGAAAGGAAATAAATATTCAAATATTTAATGTGCCCACTGTTCTGATTCCTGATAAGACAGGAGATAACAGAGTCGCTACAAAAAGATAAGGTATGATTCTGAAAGTAAAACATCTCCATCTATAAAAAAATCAAACAAACAGGTAAAAATCTGAGAACGTGTCACACACATCCCTGCGGCAAAAGGGGGCTATAGTCCTCAAAAGCAAAGTATGAAAAGAAATATGAATTACACTGAAATAATTGCCATGCAAAAAACAAGCACAAAGACTTGGATTCAAAGTCCACTAAAGTAAAGCGATAGTGAACTCATTAACTGCAGTCAGCAGCGTGTGAAGCCCCAGCTCCGCTTCCATATACCTACAAATCCTTGGTCATGATGTGTTTTTTGGCCTCCATGCCAAGTAACTTCCAATAATCCTACAGGTAACTTGACTTTTTTTCCCATTGTTTCCAAGAATATTAATGCACAAACAGTAATATCTTGCAATCAATAGCTTACCAGTAACAATGTGGCTCCAAAAGCTAGACAGAAGACCATTGGTCCAGCCAAATCAGTCTCATTCATGATGCTGCCATCTGCCACTTTTAATGGGTGTAGCACTGTTAGTGTCTTCTGCCAGATGTGGTCAAAATTGATCCCCAATTCTACAAGTTACATGAAAAGAATTATGCATCTATTTCATTTTTCTCCCTTCCTGTCGCCCCCATTTGCTTCAGTCTTATTTTTCCCTGCCTCTCCACTTTTAAATCTCCTCCAGATACCATCCTGTGGGGACCAGAGAATTGAGCCATTCCATCTTTCCGCAAGCTGCTGAGTGTGCTGCCTCCAGAGATTCCAGGTCTCAAATGCTTGGAAGTGACAAGGTGGTTTCTAAAGGACCAAGTAAGAGCCTAAGTGCAGTGTTCTAGGTCAGCCCAAAAGTTCACTTAGCCCAGTACCCTGTCCCTGTAAGTGACCAAAAGCCGGTATGTATGAAAGAGTATAAGCACAGAACACACAGATTCCCCAAGTTTCCAAAGACAGGTGGCTTAAGGATTTCTAATTCTAAGTAGTTCCTCTGTAGCTAATTGCCCTCAGTGGATTTCTCTTTCATAAAGCAGCCATTGAGCCCACTAAAAAACCCATCCACCCTTTTTAATATTCAGTGTCTCATGACAAGGAGTTTCACAGCTCCCTCCAGCTAGATAGAATCTCAAGTCGCCATCCAAACAGTTTGACCTCAGTTGTGCATCAAAACCTAGTTATGAATGCAGTTACTATTTGGCAACCTCAGGCTCTGGGAAGCATCTATGTAAACAAAAGATTTTTTTGAAGAATACAAAAAAAAGCACAGCAGGCTGGTAGAAGGTATCACGAACAGGTAGAGGTGATAGGTATTATGAATACCCATCTCTCTAACCAGTAATAGTAAGGGTTTTTTCAGTTGTTTGGTACTAAACAATGATGGATATAAGCTGGAAATTGAAACCATCAATCCAGACACTTACAACTACATATCCATTCTGGCATTCTGCATGGGCTGTATTCTACATGGGCATTTCTGCAGTTTTAGAACTTCTCTTTAGCAAGGAAGGATTTCAGTTCTAGCCAAAGAATCAACTGAAACTACCTGCATCGATGTATTTTACAAAAAGTGGGCAATTAGAAGTATTATTTGCAACAACAGAAATGTTAAATGTTTTGTCACAGGAGCTGTATGAAGTCAGGTTATCCATTTAATTGATTATGTCTTCCACAGAGCAGCTGGCATGAAGTATTAAAGCACAATTCTAAAACTGCATAAGTTCACACAAGAACATGTATTTCATATACCAAAATACAGTTAAATAAAAAAAATTAATGAGAATTTCAAATCAACTGCATGCTTTCAGAAGTCTGGAATACACACCCTGCTATTCAACTCATCCCTCAACTGGGAAGAGTTTTGGATTTTGGCCATAAAGCATAAGTTATACCTTCTAATAGAGGAGGCTCATCCTCAAAATTACTTCCATAAAAAGACTGTGCTGAAGTTGGAGTGTATGTCTGTGTTGGCTGGTAAATCTGCCCTGTGTAAGGCTGCTGCTGCTGCATCATGTCGGGAGGGACGAATCCACTTTGTTGAGAGTATTCATAGCCTCCATACTGCCTGCAAAGATTGACATCGCATTATGGACAAATACAGAAACCTACTTTAAACACCTTGCAAAAGCAAAGCTTATTTTCAGTTAATAAGTGGCAGCAAACAATCATTTTTTCTTTTTTAGAAAGTCCCATTAGATGATCCCCTACTCATATCCAGGCCTTTTAGGCATACAGCCACGTTCAGCAATTCAAACCCTTATAACAATACTGTTAAGCTAAACAAGCTAATTTTTGCTATATATGCTAGTGTTGCTTTTTGGTTTTAGTCAGAGGCCTGGAGAAATGAGCATTATCTATCGACTGAATGAGCATTATCTATCGACTGAATTACTGTGACAGGCTGTAGACCTGTAAGAGTAGGAAAATTTTACATCTCAAACTTATTCAAATATTGTCCACTAATTACTACTGACATCTCGCTTGACGCCAGCATTAATTTGCTATTTAGAATGTTTATTTGCAAACTCACCATTAAAAAACAAAGTTGATCATACTATCACTTTTGTTACCCTCTACATTTAAAAAATGAGTTTAGTAAAAAAAAAAGCGCTGTTTTCCCCTTCACTTCAGCACTACGTGTATCAGGTAGCATTATGTCATATGAGGAATTATGATACAGACATTAAACACATTATGACATCTACTTACAAGACAGGATGCAGGGGAAGAAATGGGCAATTTTTCAGTTTCTATTTCATATATTCTCAATTATTTACTAACAAATCAATTTATACAGTCTGGAAGACTTTCTATTATAGGTTTTATATGTATAAAAATATACATTGCTACCTTCAAAAAAAAGCCTAATCAAAGCTATCTCTGTTCCTAAACAAACTTGTAAGTTATTCTTGCCATTAACTGTTTCCAAGTCTGACTAAAGATTTCAGTAAACACATCCAAAATATTGAACTATGTAAATATGAATATAAAGAAAAAGCCAGAACTCATTCTCCTTTCTTGCCTTGTGTTAGTAGAGTTCAGCTTCATGTAATCCTGATACTGTAATCCTTTTGAGGACACAAACAGGCATCAACCTGCCTCATCTATGGCAGGGATCACACAGGTCACATAACCGACCAAAGCCCTCAGCTAAGACTGGACATTCACAAAGGACTCCTAAGAGCTCCCCGTCCTAGAAACGTCTGCCACACTTGCCTTCTAAAGCCTAGGAATCACCATTGACGTTGCAGGCTCATTTATGCGACACTGTAACTAATTTTTACTTCCCAAGTGAGTGACTAGAGATGGACTTAGAGAACAATGGTATTTATTTTACCAAAGATGTGAAGATTATTCATACAATTAAGTCTGCTCATATAACTTTTCCTTCCATTTTCTAATGTTTGCTTTAAAACGCAGAAGGCAGAGTATGCAACATACAATGGCTTTGTATCTCTATTTATAGGCTGTAAGTTATGCACTTCATGAAACAGAGCAAGAAGAATTAAATTACAGGGAACAACAGCTGGTGGAAATGCCAATCCTTTTCTGAAACAAACAGACTATCCCAGAAGTATCTTAACTAGAGGCTGAACGCTAAAGAAGTGTGACTGAATGGCTTTGCACAAGACTCTCGTTGCACAAGTTCAAAAGGCATGCACAAGTTACTTGCTGTATGGTCTCCCACTGTAATCATAGGACTGTGCCTGGTCATCAATACTGTAACTCGTCTGGAAGAAGTCTGTGTTGAAGCTGTCAAACCCAGACATCGCAAGTTATCTGTAAGAGAACAGCGAGGTTTGCTCGGGTCTCCAAACCCAGCCCGAAAGGGAGCACTTCAGGGAGACCGAGCGGCTCGGTCCGCTCGTTTCCGCGTACGCCCTGCCCCGTGAGCCCTCCCTCAGGGCCGCCGTGAGCTCCCGAAAGGACCTGCGGACCGTTTC